GGAGCAAGACAACATCTCATAAAATTTGGATTGTTTGCCACATTGCAATACTGAACACTGAACACCCCCAAAGATGTGGAGCACTGAAATCATGTAGCCCTGCCAGAATTGGTGCCAGAGCATTGTGCAAGACACTAGGGACAACCTCAATTGTGTTCCATTGATCTGTGTTTACTTTTATGGCAAGAACATGCAGTTTTGATTATTATCACTTTGTAGTATAGTCAGAAGTCAAGGAGTGAAGCCTCCATTTTTGTTCTGTTTCTTTTGTTTTTAGGATTGCTTTGGCTGATAAGATCTTTTGTGGCTCCATACAAACTTTAGGAACTTTTGTTATATTTCTGTGAAATAATGGTGTTAAGACTTTGATTGGGGTTGCATTGAATCTGTAGATCGCTTTAGAAAAAAATCACCATTTTAACAATGTTAATGTTTCCAGTCCATGAGTACCTTTAGATACAGAAAAGACATAGATTGGTGATTACCAGAAAAAAAGGGCAGTAGGGGCTGGTGAAACAGATAGAGGATAGAGGACCAATTATGTGATCAAAGACAGAAACTTGATTTTTGGTTGTGAACATGGATAGTGAACCATGGAGATGTTGAGTTATAATATAACCTGAAGCTTATGTTAACCACTACACTCCTTTATTTCTCCTTTGGTCGTTTCTCCCTCCCTCATCCCTGAAAACCTCACTTCATTCATTAATATCACTAGTTTTTATAACTACTTTACTTTGTTGAATCATTGCCATGTAAATGACCAATATTTTTCTGTAATTCCCACCGGCTTTACTGCTCATAATTTCCTCATGCTCCTTCCATTTGTCCATGTTTTCTTTCCTTCTGGTTAGTATTCCATAGTGTATAAAATGCTTTCCTATTATATACCAAGATTGCCATAATAAAATTCATATCAATAGATTGATATAGAGAGGTATCACTGTTTTTTCATGTTACTTAATAGGCAGTCTTAATTGTATGAAAATACAGTTTCAGGGGCACTGTGTGTTCTGGTATTATTTTCTAATTCCAGAATTGTGTGTGTATGTTTATATGTGGCTACATTTTAAGCTAATATTTTAAAATAAACATTTCAAAAATCAACTTGTTCACACATCAGCAGTCTTCACAATACCTCATACTAGTAGAATTTTTATTCATGCTTCAAGATCTTGGTATCATTATTAGACAACTAATTTCTTTACTGATTTTTTGGGGTACTTGGAAAAGTATATTAGTGTTCTATAACAAGTTTGGAATGTTATTGCATATATTTTTAAATATTGTCAGATGGTTTCTCGATGTATTATAAATTATCTGTCATATTCTTTTTTTTTTTTTCTGTCGCTTTTCCTTTTTTGGTTCCAAAGGTCTGAAAATCTCTTTCTTGCCAAATCAGTCATGAGTCCATTGAGATGAGATTCATTCATTTGAGCAGAGGAGAGAACATTTTTTAATAAAATGTGCTGGAACACATATCACTCTACAAAAGCATTCCCGTGGCTATTGCAATGCCATTGCTTCCCAGACACTATTTTAAAATGCATTTCATGACGCAACAGTTTTCAGAGTGTGGTCCCCAGAGTAGAGCATCACCAGCCAGGATCTGCTGTGTCAGAAAGGGTAAGGGTGGAGGAACTCCAGCAACTGCAGTGAAATAAGCCCTCCAGGTGATTTTAATGGACACAAAAGCCTGCAGACCAGCACCCTAGGTGACACAAGGCAAATATGGGTTCTTAAATTTCAAAATGACATTTTTAGAGAGTGATTTAGAAATGCATACCTGACAGATTGCTTCATAGTGGAAATGTTCTTCAAACCTCATTTTAGTGAAGCTGGCTTTAACTTTTATTTGTTTGTAGAAGTGCCTCAATGAATTTGATGGCGAGCATCATCACAGTAATCTTTCTGATGCAAACTATAGTGAATTTTGGTTAAACAACATATTTTACATTACTAAGTGTACAATTCATTTATTCAGAGTAAACACTGAATGGAATTTAAGGAAGTGTGATCCACCAGATGAGTCCATGTGCCGCCTTCATCCTCACCTGCCCCGGCTTCTGCTGGATTAAGCTAGTCTGCTTTTCACTGAATCTCAACCCCTTCCTTGGAAATGAACCCTTGGGCAGAAATGGAGTTTGAATATTTAAAATTTGAAAATAAAATTTATTAGGACGATTCCTTTCATCCAATGAGGGAAATAGCATCAAGAAGATCAGGGCTGTGTAAGCCATAGCAAGGAGGGATTCACTTGTGTTGCTGTTGCTAAGTAACAAAGAGGGGAACTGGGGAACGGGCTGGTGAAGGAGGAAGGACGCCAGAGGTACTTTTACCTGCTTAGGCTGCCTGGCGGGGCCCTAGCAGGGCAACTTAGCCAATCAGTTTTATTTGTTTGTAAAAGTGCCTCCATGAATTTGATTTCGAGTGTTCCCTATCATGTGGATCTTATTAAATTCGCTGGTTCATGATTTTCAGCTTTCTCCAAGGTCCATTGTGATGATTGCACTCTTTTGCTGTTTATTACTGCCAGGCTTTATCTGCTAACATTTGAACACAAAAACATTTTCGTGGAAATGGAATGGCCCTTCTGGGTGCTGTGCAACCCTCGGTAGGTTTTACATCGTTTGTGTTGCAGGCAGCATCCCTTTGAAGGACCTTCAATGTCAGGATTGTTCTTTACATCTTTTTCACCCAAATATCAAGCTGCGGATGTGAATATCAAGGGTCAACACCGTCGAAAGCATCTGAAAGATGGGTTAGGAAATTGATTTGTTTCAACATTTTGGGAAGAAGTGCTTGCCCTTTCTTGGCATTTTGACAATGATCATTTGGCTGCTCTTCCCAGACACTGGAATTGATGGGGGGGAGAGGGCGGGGAAGGGAAAATGTTGAGGGAGGTGGTACTTTCTATTTTCATGATAATATGTCTCTAGAACGTAGTCCAAAGGGTGTCACCAAAGAAAGGAAGATAGTTGTTCAGGCTTTACCTGGACTCCTGAGTCACTCTGCTGGCTAAAGTTTCCTTTCTACTCTTACATGAGCATGCTACTTCGATTTGCTACTTGTGATCCCTTTGGAGTGGGAACTGTGGTGGGAGGGGAGTGATGTGCTTACTGGTAAATGTTGATACTTTGTTGTACCCCAGAATTTTAAGATTTATGGAATATGTACGCGCAGTGATAAGTATATCAGTCATCAGGCAGCTGGAGACATGTTTTATTGCAGATAGTGAATGGAACAATGTTCTTCCTTCAGTTTTCAACTAGAGAATTTATCTCATTGGATTTTTTCTTTAAAATATGAACCAGAAATTCATATATATGTTACTACAGTTTGTGAGTCAATAATATAAGTAAAAAATTGAATCCTTAGATTGTTTTTGATCCAAAAATATTCAGACACTTGCTTATAAGTATCGGCCACAGGGTTACTTATTTTCAAGCTGTTATGCTTAGGTTAAATTTAACCCTTGAGAACATGACCCTTGGACACCAGGAAATCTTTATTTTGCAAAATACCTGCCACAGGAGACATTCTTTTTATTAGACAGACAAGCCCTCAGTACCTGCAAAAATGGAGGGTTCCAGGTCATGGGATTATGATGGACGATGGCATGTTCCTAAACATAGCAATCCTTTTCCAACTTCCACTGCAGATGGGCCTCTCAAAATAATTGATTCAGCAGCACTGCCTTAAAGCACTATGCACAATTAAATTAAGCTCACAAAGGTGTTTCTGCTGGTAGTTTTTTTTTTTTTAAAGATTTACTTATTTACTCATACAGAACTGAGGTACAGGCCAGAGATGCAGAGGGTGAGGGGATTCACCAGAGACAGAGCGGGGAGCAGAACAGGCAGATCGACGAAGTACACTGCTGAGGGGAGCAGCGGGCGGTCAGGAGAGGTCTGCCGCACCATGTGGTCACTTCCGGGGCCGGCAGGAATTGAACTCATGCAGAAGTGGCTTTAGCTTCTCAGTGCAGTGCTGTAACCGGCTGCACCACCAGGGAAGGCCTCTGCTGGTAATTCTTAAGTGTCTTGTTATTGTGACGCATTTTGCGGGGTAATTCCTCAATTCTTGCACCCATATTCATCATGATTTATATTTATCTATGATAGCTATTATATAGATAGATAGATAGATAATACATATGTAGCTTCTCTGTGTGTGTGTGTGTGTGTGTGTGTGTGTATAAGCCAAGCAGATGGTGCTAGGAATTAGGGGTGTTTTATAGGACACTTTATAGTGCATACTTAACTTCTTGATTTATTAGAATTTATGAAATAATCTTATTTTTCAAAATAAAGTGCATCGCATGCATTTAAATGGAGACCAAGGACTACAGAATTCTGCTGTAGCCATTGAGATATACAGGAAGTTAGAAAGCAAGGTTTGGAATCATTGCCTAATAATCTCAACTCTAGAATATTCAGAAATGAAAGCAGTTATGTATTTTCCCTTTTGCTCAACAAAACAGTGTCTTAAATTCTGCAGCAGATAGTAATGTAATCTGCAATTATCATATGCTGAATGTGACCAAGAGTTCAATGTGTTTTGGGAGTCATCAGAGTTCTTGCCAGAAAAGTAAAATGGAGTAAGTTCTGGCTTAAAGAAGACATTCCCTGCAGGCATTGCATATATGAGATCCACTTAGATTGTGTAAAGGGGCAGAGATTCATTTTGGTAGTGACCCCACTTGGCTTTTCACAGTTATGATTCCATTGTACAATTTAGACCTTTAATCCTCTCCGCAGAGAATGCCTGCAACAAGAGTTTGTAAAAAGGGTTTTGTAGAGAAAGCGAGTGAGTGAATGAACAATTCATTAAATGACTTTATTTTTTAGAAAGGAATGGAAGAAAATAGTTTTTCAGTGTATCTGACATTACCAGGAACATGATAACCCTTTCTGAAGACAGTCAGTGGACAGATTAATACAAGGCCGCCATCAAGTTCGCCTCTTTTCACTCAGTTTTCTCCCTCCTTGTCTCTGCAGAACGATTCAATGTGTATCTTATGCCTACACCCAACCTGGACATTTATGGTGAATGCACAATGCAGATCACCCATGAGAACATCTATCTCTGGGATATACACAACGCCAAGGTCAAACTTGTGATGTGGCCTCTCAGCTCGCTGAGGAGATACGGGCGGGACTCCACGTGGTTCACCTTTGAGTCAGGCAGGTAAGCACCGAGGCGGAATCCCGTGGGGTGGTCCAGTCCCTCCTTGCAGGGTGGCTGGCGTTTGCGAGCAGGTTAACAGTCACCAAAGACAGAACTCCTTCAGGTCGCCTTACCATGTGAATACGATGAGCTTCATGCCTTGGCAGAGAGAATAACTCAAATCACCTCAAAATAAGTGCAGTCTCTGAAACTAGCATCAAGCACGTTTCCTATCTGTTTCTATCATGCAATGTGGTTTATATTATTGCGACACTGCGTGTTTGAAGTCACTGCCATCGGATTCCCACAGAATGCCACCATCCCTGCCAGGGTTCTTCTTGTGAGTGTTTACTAAGCCAGTTCAAAAGCAGCTTGATGGAAAACATTTAACCATTACCGCCTAGGGCTGAGATAAATTCGCGCACTAGCCCTTTATTCTGATGCTTATGGTAACAATACTAGTGAAGTAGAAATATTAATTCAGGATAACTGAAGAAATGTTGGTAAACCCATAAGTTTGAAATGTTGGTAAACCCATAAGTTAGGTTTTAAACTTCTTGTGTCAAGACGAAAGCATCAGTTTCTGTGTGGCTGCCTAATTCTGGTCCCTACCAATGTGTTTGTGGGGGGAGGGAGGGAGGGATGCTTACTTCAGGTCCCCTCCAGACCCTGGCACCGACGCGCTCCGCTACCATTAAATCAGTATCTTTGCACTGTGATATTAACAGGATCCAAGATAAGACTTAGGTTTGGGATGCTGTGTAAGTGATGTTTAATGAATTGGTCTTCACACACGGACATGATTTATCACATCCTGAAAATGAGTCTGTGGTGTTGTCAAGTAATTACAGTGAGGTTTGGTTGCATGGATAGAACCATTTTAATTTCCTAACTTTCTTCTCACAAAACTATTACATTCTCTTCCAAGGTCAGATTCTAATAATATCCATATGGCAGAGGCCACGTGTCTTTTAAAATTCTAAGGAGAAAAAAAGGCTAAACAGAAGTCATTTTACAAGGTTGGAGCTCTTTAGCTAAGGTGACAGGAAGGTCTGGATGACTCTGACTTCTCAAAGAGCTTCCAAGGCTGTATTTGCTTAGCGCCATGAGCCCATGCTAGAGAGTGAGAGTGTAATACAACACGTTCTAGATGCCATTTGGAAATAAGTATTCTAGAATTCTAAGTTATATTCACTGTTTTAAAATTACATGGCTATGAAAAGGAAATTAGAAATGAGATTCACTCACCTAAAATGTATGATACTTTTCTTCTTACTGGCCTTAAAATTAAGTACATGTATTTTTTTTTAAAGATTTATTTATTGATGCATACAGAACTGGGGTACAAGCACAGGGACATTGAGAGGACTTACCAGAGACACAGTGGGGAGCAGAACAGGCAGACTGATGGGGTACACTGCTGAGGGGAGCAGGGGGTGGGTCAGGAGAGGTCTGCCGCCCCGTGTGAGTCTCCTCCAGGGCTGGGATCGAACTCGCACCAAGGTGGGTGCGGCCAGCTTGCAGTGCTGCGTCCTTGTCCATTGCACGACCAGGGAGGGCCCCCTGTATGTACTTTTTAAAGAGGTATGGTTTCTTTTTCATCGTTTAACAGCGCTTCCTCTGGGATTCCCTCCCCTGATCTTTGCCCTGGGTAATTCTGCTTTCCCGTTTGTTTTTCATGAAGAGCAATTTAACTACCTGCTCTCCTGGTTTTAGTAGGTGCTAAGCAAGTTGGAATTTTTTTTTTTTTCGTGTATAGTGGTTAGGCAGAATTTCACTCCACGTATTCCTGTCCACACTAGTTTATGTCAATTTCTTTTCCCTTTAAAGTCCTTAAGGGAAGTATTCTAAATCTTTACGGGTTTTTAAACTGATGTTCTCAGTGAAAACATCAAAGTACTTGCATGAACCTTGGGGTTCATCTGATGGTCAGTAATAATCGGTCTTGAGTGATCTTGATGTCTTTTTTTTTTTTTAAAGATTTATTTATTTGTGCATACAGAACTGGGGTACAGGCCAGAGGCTCAGGGGCGGCGAGAGGCTTCACCAGAGACAGAGTGGGGAGCAGAACAGGCAGATCGACGAAGTACACTGCTGAGGGGAGCAGCGGGCGGGTCAGGAGAGGTCTGCCGCGCCATGTGGTCACCTCCGGGGCAGGCGGGAATTGAACTCATGCGGAAGTGGCTTTTTAGCCTCTTAGTGCAGTGCTTTAACCCGCTGCACCACCAGGGAGGGCCCAGATCTTGATGTCTTTTAATAATTTTCAGATAGATGAAAAATGTAAACCTAGGTCATTGGGCTTTCTGTCCCCCAGTTTTCTTCTTTATCTTACAAAGTCTGTTTTACATAACATGGGCATATGGTGCAATTTTTACAGTTTCTTTGTAAACCCCAAGATGGAGAATATTAAAAACACTTTATATTGAATGGTTAAAACAATGCAAACTTTTGGGGGAGCAATTGGAAAGAAAAGCTTGGAATCACCCAGAATATCTCTATATAAAATAACTAGGCCCTCCCTGATGGCACAGCGGGTTAAAGCACAGCACTGAGAAGCTGAAGCCACCTCAGCATGAGCTCGATCCCTGCCTCAGAGGTGACCAGCATGGCATGGTAGAACTCTCCCACGGCAGACCCGCCCACTGCTCCCCTCAGCAGTCTACCTCATCAGTCGGCCTGTTCTGCTCCCCACTCTGTCTCTGGTGAATCCTCTCACCGCTCTTGTACCTCTGGCCTGTACTCCAGTTCTGTATGCACAAGTAAATAAATCTTTTTTTTTTTTTTGAGGAGAGGTCTGCCGCGCCATGTGGGTCACCTCCGGGACAGGCGGGGATCAAACTCATGCGGAAGCGGCTTTAGCTTCTCAGTGCTGTGCTTTAACCTGCTGTGCCACCAGGGAGGGCCAAGTAAATAAATCTTTAAAAAACAAAATAACTGTTTTTAGCATACATATACAATTTTTGTAAATAATGATATCCTGTCTTTTTATGTAATACTCTATTGGGGACTAACCTTTCAGAATTATGAAATCAAGGCCCTAAAGGCTGTGTAGGGTCTGATCATTAATTGAACATTAAAATCTTTTCAAAATGAACTTATATATATCGTGATGATGGGTAGTGGGGGGGAAGTAAACACTGTTGTAAAATGAACATATAAAAATAATAATTATAAATAAATAACAAGTGGGATTGTACAAAAAATAAAAAATGATCTTGCATAATAAATAAAGCTACACTGGCCATCTGCTGAAAGGCATACAGTCTTCTATTTCCTTACCCGAGTCTCTTAAAGACTGACTGGGTCAAGGCATGTGAATGTCTTCAAGGTTTTCCACAATCCAGGAGACTGCTCTCCAGAAAGTATCACCGTTCCTGCCGCTCTGTGGGTGGCTCTTGTTGACGCCACTGCATGACAGTAATGACTTAAGGGTCCCTAATTTGAAAGGGGACTTGGCTGTCTGGCTATGTGGTCCCTTCCCGCTTTGTTTATTTTCATGGTGAGAGGCTGTCCTTGGAGAAGCTGCTCCCTTGAAATTTGATATTTTTGTCCTTCTCTGAATTATGAGTGTCCTTTGCCTTTCAATAATTGGGATAATTGACCATTACTTTGTGCATCTGTTTTTGTCATTCACAGGAGTTCCCCCTTGTTCAAGGGGACCGAGGGCAAAAGTGGCCCTCCTTGATGCAGACAGGTGAAGGCAGGGCTTCCCTTCCCTGGGCCAGGACGGGGTGGCCGTGGGGGACAGGACAGTTAGCCAAGGGGGGCATGCCCAGTCGTTGTGGGAAGGCTTTAGCCAAGGGCCGACGTGTCTGCTTCCCCTATTAGCTTTTTGCACAGGCAGTTTTAATTCATGCATCTGGGTTACTGGGTATTCTGGAAAGTATTACACTGGCCCATCTCAAGTACCCTTTTCTCCACTAGCAGGTATTTTGTTAGTATTTCAGTGTCCCACTAAAATATCGAAACAAACAGTAGCAGAGGCTCTCGGCCATGATTTCTGGAGGAGCAAAATTCATGCAGCCTCATAATCATGACCACGTTCCACTCGTGCCAGAGAACACGTGCGGAGAGTGGGGATGGGACCGCGAGGGCCGGAAGCCCCCCGTGAGGATGGATTCGAGGTCACTGCAACTGGGAGATGAGTCCAGTCTCCTGTCAGTGCACATTTGTATTTTACGAGTAAAAGTAACACCGACCGATTAGCCATGCAAGCTTATTTTCTCAAAAAAATCAAAAGAGCTGGCCAGACCTAGAGAGAAAAGGTAGAGGATTCATGATTATATGCCATGTTACGCTGGGAAAAACAAAACTACATTTTTAACTGCTGACTTGGCATTTTATTTCATGGAGCCTCATAAATATTGTAACATAAATCAGGATGAGTTCAGATGCCTGCAGAACAAAATTCAAGTGAGGCCAAAATTCTTTTTTTATGAAATTATTGTTGAAATATAACCTCCCTATCCAGCACAATATTTAATATAAAAATTGGCATTTAAAAATGTATGTTTTACTAACTTTGATAATGCTGTTTCTGTTAACAGTCTGAGGAAATCTGGTTATATAGCCTTAATAATTGAAAAATGTAAACCAATACTTAAGTATTGAACTAGAGTTCCGCTGAGGAGGTGGCCCGTAAAAACAGTGCTGAGTATGGACACTTTGGGGTGGTGAGATGTGAACCTTTCTTTTATCACAAATGCAGAGGGAAATCTTTTCCTTCATTTCTTTCAGAATGAAATCTTTCCTTTCATTCACGCTCAATGAGTTAAAAGGAAAGGTAACCTAGAGAGCTCTTAAAAATGATTCCAAAACAAAGTCCTTAAATAAATAAATGTAACTGTCCAAGTTAAAAACTTGACTCATGAGGAAATGAAAATACGATGCAGGTTTGGAAAAGATACTGGAAAATCACATATTTGACAAAGAATTTGCACCATGATAAGCAAAGAATGTCAAACTTTCCACAAAAAGAAATAGAATTCACTTTTAAAAAGAAGATACAATTTACCAATAAC